AATCAGCATTAGGTCAGCCTCCTGGTGATCATTAATTAGGCATTGTGTGCACGCAGTCGTCAGTACATATACGAAATTACCCTATATCTCGGAAAATACATGCACTACTCAATAGCGATAGTCACGAACTGTCAGTGACCCAAGTAATGGTCATTTATTATATTGGCAAATCAAAGAGAGCCACTCAGATCTTTTACCTTTTGTGAAGCGATATATATTTATGTAAGATATATATATGTGTGTGTGTGTGTGTGTGTGTGTGTGTGTGGTGTGTGCGGCTGTGTGGTGCGCTGGTCGTGCGTGCGTGCGTGCGTGGCGTGCGTGCGTGCGTGCGTGCGTGCGTGCGTGTCGTGCGTGTGTGTGTGTGTGTGTGTGTGTGTGTGTGTGTGTGTGTGTGTGTGTGTGTGTGTGTGTGTGTACATAATATACATACACGTACGTGGTTCATCGCGGCATGATTTCGCGCGAGATTTCCCATGGCGAAATGGTCGCGGAAATCGTGGAAGTTGGTGCACTCAGCGCGGTATTGAAGTATTCAATAAAATACGCATGCATAGCGATTTATTCGACTTCGTTCAATTTAAGCTGCAGATCTCGTCCGAGTCATAATCAACCATTCACAGCATCAGCGACACGCAGCGTGCATGATCGCTCGCGCGCGTCGTCACGACGTTCATTCTATCTCTCAATTCTTCAGTTCTTTCCAATTGTGTAGAACGTCTAGCCGTACATCATTACCCGGTTACGACGCATGAGGCGTCTTTACTATATGTCCGGTTATACGTATGATTGGGGCAGAGATAGCCGCACCTGAGAAGCAGCGAGAGATATATACGTTATGATATGATTTTGATGTGACTTCGTATCAAACGTTAAGGAAATGTTATACTCAGATACCCGCCAACTTCGCGACTTTCCGAGCACTCTTGTAAAACGTTATTGGGACCCTTCCAGACACTGCATGCGATTCTAACACAAAATTGGCCTAATAAGAGCGTTGTCGGAGCCTATCCGGAGCTATTCAACAACCACTTGCATCCGATTTTCAGAGCATCCAAGATGGCGGCGTCAAGTGCTGTTGGACGTGTATGCCATGCGAGCCAGACGAGTTCATGCTAGATGAGCTGACGTGTCAGTCGTGCGGCCAGGGCTGGTGGCCGAATGAGAACCTTACGGGTAAGCTGCGCACCGTACGCATGCATCTGTGTGCGTGCGTGCATGCGTCTGTGTGCGTGTGTGCGTGCGTGCGTGCGTGTGTGTGCGCATGTGCGTGCGTACGTGCGTGCGTCTGCGCATGTGTGTGCGTACGTGCGTGCGTGTGCTCGGTGCGTGCGTGCGTGCGTGTGCGTACGTGCGTGCGTGCGTGCGTGTGTACGATCGTACCGCGTGTGTGCGTGGGTGCGTGCGTGCATGCGTGCGTGCGAGCCTGGGGATGATTGAACACACGCACGCTATAAGGATTTCACTCCGCAGCGGAATACATCGGCATAGAAATAAAAGCTTAACCAGAAAACCTGAGCCCCCACGATGTCTCGAAAAGCTTTGTCTGAATCCACTTAACAAACTAAAGTCGCGCGTGTTCGCCGGACTCACTGGAAACATCCTATTTCACGGCTTCTCTCGACGGAATATGAAAATAAAGATTGTCGACCCGATGAAGGAAGCGATACAGCAAACATGGCCATGCATCTATCGGCGAGGCACGTCGACGGCGCGCCGCTCGCGGTATAGCAGCCGACGCTATGCATGTAGCGACACGTACCGGCGGAAGCTGAGTGCCGTCTGAGTGCATGCGAACGCACCATTACCGCTCCTTGGAGATAAATATTATTAACGATAAAATACGACGGGATTGCGGCGAGTGTCGCCCACTGCGCGACGTGGCATCTATCCTCCCCACTCGATTGGCGCTCGATGCGCTCCCTGGTGGCGCACGCACGCGGACGAACAATCTGACGACGTGTCACCGCTGTGATCGGCCGACGCTCTCGCCGCCGTGCCGTGACGTCACGCGCGCGTGAAAATAGCTTTCTTCGGTCGTGCGTGGCGTCTCTATAGGCACACGTCTGCGGCGGCAGCGCGCGAGCGAGCGCGCGCGGAGAGTTAATGAATGCTGTTACGGGCTACGACGTCGCCGTTGACGTTCGCTGTCTAATGCAGACAGATCAGGGACGAGATGGGCCACAGGTGGCGCCTGTTTTACTGTCGTACGCGACGGCTAGTGAGAATCGATGTCATTTGCGTTGCGCTTACAGTAACGACATCATTACTATATATGACACACACACAAACATACACACACCTACACACACACACACACACACACA